GTTCGACTGGTTCACTGGCAGTTCGTTTGAACCGGCTAGAGATTGGCTGAGGCGGGTTGGCGGGTCGATTTACGCGAATCTCAAGTTAGGTTCGGTCTACGCGCGAATTTTTTTACGCTTGAAACGACATCGTTTTGGCCCTATGCTTAAAACAACGTCATTTTGCTTTTATGTTTTCTTTATAAAAGTCAGCCTTTTTTTTTTTAGTTCATTTTTCTATTTTTGAGGAAAAAAAAGGAGAGAAAGAGCCTGGGAAAAGGTCTGACGCACTCGTTGTCCAGCCACCGAAGCGCCATGTCGGCCGCCGCCTGGTCCACCGTCGACGGTGGTCGTCGGTGATCGAAAACTTCAAAATTGATCAGAAGGTTCCATTCAACCTCCTGAGCTCATCTCTGGTGCTCCTTTAACCGGAAACGACCTTGATTTGCGTAAATCGAGTTTTGAAGTTTTCGGTATTCTTTTCTTTTTCTTTTTTTTTTTGAAAACTAACTGATACCATTCTTTCTTGGTGCAGTTGACTCGGTGTTAGATTCTTCCCTACGGGAAGGACTATGTTTTATTTTTTTATTTTTTTTATATTTTCGTAGATCTGTTTGGGTATTTGGGGGGTTGTTTAGTTTTTTTTTTCGTCTGAGAGGTTGTTGATAGGGGTGTGTGCTTTTTGGTGTTCTGATGAGGGGATCTCCGAGGGTTTCAGCCAAATCTAAAATGAGGGAGATCGAGTATTTTATATGGTTGAAAATGGTGATAGCGTGTGCTGATGGAGTGAAGGGACTGGACGAGAGGGTGGTATGATGGCTGGGGTAATGGCAGGGCATGACTGACCAGTGGTGCCATGCACGGCACCCGATGGCACCAATAGGGACGGCAATCAAGCTCGTCCTCGACAGATTTCAGCCTGACCCGACCCTATAGGGTTGGGTTTTTTTTTTTGAATTTCGGATTTCGGGTCGGGTCGGATCGGGTTCGGGTATGCCTAAAACTTGACCTTACCCGACCCGACATTATTAAAAAATTATTTTTTAATTAATTAATTATTTATTTATTTATATATTTATATAATGATATTTTTAAATATTTATATTTAAAAAATAATATTTTATATTTTAAAAAATAATATTTTATTAATTTCGGGTCAAGTCGGGTACGATTTACATATTGTCGGATCGAATCGAGTTCGAGTATTAAAAAATTCGGGTCAGATCGGGGTCGGGTTTGATAAAGCATAAAATCGGATCGGATTAGGCAAACAAAATCCATCCCGAACTCGACTCGATGCCATCCCTAAGCACCAACCCATTTCAATTTGTTTCTTCTTCTGTTTGGATTTTTTGTTTGTCCTTTTAAAAAAATAAATTTTTAATTAATTAATTTTTTTAATTATAATTAAAAATTATTATTATTATTATTAAAAAATATAAATTCAGACAAAATTCGATGTTTATAGCAACTTATTTATTATCAAAATTTTTTACACTAAACAAGAAACTTAGATGAAATTAATTGGTTGTGAAGTAGTAATTTTTTACAGTAAATTATATTTGTTGTTGAGTTAAACAAAAAAAAGAAAATGAAGAATTAATGGGAAGTTGTGAAGGAGACAAGGGTAAGAATGCAAATGATTAGGAAGGACAAGGGGGAAGAATAAAAATGGTCATTTTCGGGGCTCTGACTCTGATAGAAGAGAGAGAGAGAGAGAGAGAGAGAGAGAGGAGAAGGGGAAGGTGTGGGGTCCACGTGTCCTTGCACGCGCGCATGCCTGTTGGACCCCACTGTTGACTTTACGTATCTGTAAGGTCATTTGAAGGGAAGATGACGTACGGTTTGTGATGTTCAAGTAGACTAACTGAACAAGTAGTTGTCTTCTTTTCTCCTGCCGCCTCTCATCCACCCATTTCCATTTCTTTACCCTTTTTCTTTCATTAACTATAAATGTTTTTTCTACTCTCTGTTATTTTAATGATAAAATAATATATAACACTTACATTAATATTACAATAATAGGAAAAAAATTCATTTACGTATGAAAATGATTAAATATAAATATTACAAATTTAATTTTAGTCTAAAATTAAAAAAATATGTAATTTTTATATTAATAAAATAGATACTTATTTTCTATATATATATATATATATAAAATTTGCTATATCAAAATTTTTTATACCCTTTCCCATTATCGTCCCTAATCAAGAATCATAATCCAAATTTGTCAGATAGATATGTTGACGTCTTGTTTAGAATTTACAAATGCATAAATTTAAAGATATAAATAAAGGGTTAATGAAGTCTTTTAAATTATATATATATATATATACACACACACAAAGGAAGTCAAAGCTTAGAGAAAATTAAGAAAAATATTTGTAAGTATCAGAGATTAAATCTTAATTAATTTTGTTAGACTCGATTAAATATTTGGACTAAACTCAAGATTCAATGAAATCTCCTAGGGTTTTTTTTCATATATATATTTGAAGTCATTTAAATTTAAATTATGATTATTAAAATTAAAAGTTTAATACTTTACTAATAATTATGCGGCTATTGACAGTGAAATCTCTTAGTTATTGTAAAAAAAACTAATGCGACATGTGAGAAGCACTTTGATAATTAGGCAATCTAAGATTTGTTAAGAAATCTTCATCGACAATTAATGAAACAAACCACATGGTTTTGATTGAATTTACGGTGTAATAAGCTTTTGAAAATCACTTCAGTTACCAGTCAAATTCCAAAATTTTCTTCATGACTATTATCGATTAGTCTTTATCCTTGAGTCTTGACCCAAAAAAATTAAATTAGAAAAACAGTCAAAACGAAATTGGGATAAGCAGCTTTCATTCATGACATAATGAAGAAACGAGTGCATAATAGAAAATTTTGAGGTAAGAATTTTCAATATTTTTATTCCTAAAATGGAATTGGATTCATACATCACCACCAAAACTATCTGCTTAATGGTCAATAACTAATTATTATGATCATTTTCAAGTGACAATTGCTCTAAAGACTCAGTTTGCACATTCAACAACAATAATTCTTTCATTACTACTCAAACGAGTTGTCAAATATAGATTATTTTGATTTTTCACAAATGGGTGTTAAAATAAAGGATGTAAATATTTCATGATTTTTTCTCGTGTTTTTGTAAGATCGGTTGTTTAGACTTGGCTGAAGTGGTAAGAGTAGGACGGATTTGGATAAAAATATTAGATTCAAGCCGTAAAAGCTCTGTTAAAATGAAAAAATAAATAAAAAATATCGAGCTTAATCACTAATTAATCAAGTTTGCTTTCACAAGCTAAAAACACTAAGGTAAGAAAGAACTATAATTTATGATAGTTAAACTTGAGGACAAGAGATTAACTCCAACTTTTTTTTTGGAGGTTAAGTGTTAATTATGATATCAATAAAAACCTAACTTCAACTATTTTTTTTTTTTTTACAAAAAAGGTTACAATTTAATAATAATAAAAAAGAAATTACAAATATTAGAATTTAAATCCCAAATCTATTAAATATTATCTCTTAAAAGTGATTACATAAACCAATTGAACTAAATTTCAACTAAATTATTTTAGCTAAAAGAATAAGTGTTGCTAAGTATAATATCAATCTCCTTATTTAGCTAAAAGAATTAGGGATTTCAAATAAGTTTTTCCTCTATGTATATTAATTTATTCTATAACATCAATCTCCTTATTTCTAAGGAAGTTTTTTGCACTTCTTAGATTTGATCCTACAATCTCAAGACACTAATCAATTTGGCTTAGATAAAAACAACTCATCTAATTTCCATTTGTTTGAATTATAAATTAAGACAAATTTTTATATCTACAAATACAACAAGAATGGGGCTTTAGACAATGATAGTGAAAACACATGCTATATAAATGTGTGATTTGATTGGTTTGTGCTTATGCCGTTGTAATGTAGCCAATGAATTAGTTTTTTATTTGTTTTGGGAATTTGAATTTAATTTCTAATTAGTATTTTTGGTACTATATATGACTAGTTTCTGGTGAAAACAAATTGATGCTAAGTTTGATGACACTACAAATTAATATCCTCACCCACAAAATTAAATCATGATTTATGATCATTTCATTCAGAAACTTTTTCTTGTTAGTTAGCATAGGGGAAATAAAGAAGATATGAACACCATTTTTCATTTTTTTGAAAAGTTTGAAATATTGTAAAAAATTAAAAATTAAATATATTATTAAGTGATGTTATGTCACATATGTTAAGTTATGAGTTTTTTGTAGCCGTATATTTGATCGAGTTGGGTTTGCTCACTTATAGCCTATTGATTTTAGATTGAATTTTTGAGTATCAACACGTGACATACATATATTAAGTAATGTTATCCCACATCTATTAAATTTTTAGTTTCTTATTATCTTATAATCAAGCTAAATTTTTTTTTGTGACCATTACTTATAAATTAGTGTCATTTAAGATAACAAGTAACATAAATTCTTTGCCCCTAGGCCCAATCACATTTCCTGAATTTCTACTAAATTTTTTAATTTTTCTTGGTGCTATATTTGCAAAAATATAACAACTTAAAACTTATGGGTATCTTTAGCAAAAATTGTAGAGGGAATTAAAAATGTCTATATAAACATTATGATTATTATGTATCAAAATAATAAAATTAATTTAAAATTTTACTATATGTTATAAGATAATAGTAATATTTTAAAAAATTAGATGCTATTTTTGTTTAAAATCAAAATTTTGGTGTGTGATTGGTTGATAATTAGCTTAACATTCCTGTAGAAGCTATCTTTTTCATCAATTAATTGAGTTAAAACATCATGCATATACTTTTTTTTTAATAATAGTGACAAAAATATATTCCTCGATCAAAAGATTATAAAGTAATGAAATATGTATTAAAAAACAAAAAATATATATTAGAAAAAGACTATAACATATATAGTTTTAAAAAATCATTTAACTTTAACAGAAAGTTACAAAGCATCTAAAATATAAAAATATAAAAAAATTTCAATTTCAAAGTAACCTTTACTCTTGTCTTATCAGCCCCTGAAATACTTCTTCCTCTATAGTACTTGCAATTAAGCTGTTTCATCCTTTGGCTGATCTGTATATATATATACCTGAGATGCAGCAAATCGTTTTCTATCATTTTATGCAACCATAAAAACCCCCCAAACAAACCTTCCCACACCCAAAGAAATCGCAGTCAAATACATCAAACAAGTTCAGGACAGCAACTATAAGGCAGCAGCTGAGTTTTTTAGCCATGGCAGATGAGTTTAACACGGGAACAAACTGGTGGGATTCATCCAGGAGTACTAATAACCGGTTTGATGCCACAGCTGCAGGTTCTTCTGCTTCATCTTCCGGGCTAAATAATAGCTTGGGAAGCTTTGGATGGGGAGCTGAAATGGTTGATATCAAGGCAGCAGCAAGGTCTTCTATGGATTCTGTCTCTTCTGTTTCAGGTCGTTCAGTTGTTTTTCAGGATACGTCAAAGCTCCAAGGTGAACCTGATCATCCCCCTGGTGATTTACATATGATGGGGTTAGGGCTTTCTTCTCAAGCTATGGATTGGAACCAAGCTTTGCTGTAAGTAGTACTGATTCCTTTTGATTTGATTCTACTTTCCTTTATATTGCGAATATTCTTTGATATTAGAAGTTTTTTATTATAGTTTTGTCGTGTTTTTGACAGCCGTGGGGATAAGAGTGAGAGTAGTTTCCGTTCCATGTTTCAAGATCATAACTTGAATTCAAATGCAAACTATCAGCAAGAAACAGGTGGGATCGGCTCCTCTCAAGTTCAGTGGAGAGAGAAAATGTTTTCTGGGGTTGGAGGAGATGCTTCTGTCAATGAATTTAAGCAAATCAGCAGAGGTTTTTCTCTTGATCAGTCACAGTTTAGTCCCCATGGAAGTTCTAGTGATAGCAGTGTGACATGTCAGGGTTTGCCTTCTAGTTTCCAGATGGATTCAACAGCCTTCTATGGAAATCCTTCAACTATTTTACAAGGACTATTGGGATCAGAAAATCAGACACAGCAATCTTCTTATGAGAATCGTTCAATCAATTATCAATATGGAGCAGCTTCTGCAAGTTATGGAATGAACACTAATGAATTGTTGCCTAATTCTTGGTCTAAAGTCCCTCAATTTTTAAGAAGTTCACCTCCAAAACAACATCTCCATGGTCAGTTACATTTCTCCAATAATGCTCCTTTTTGGAATCCATCTGCAGCAGCTGCCATGACCGATGTTAGGCCTGGGTTTTTCCCATCATTGCAAACCCAATTTCCAACAGGAAATTTTGATGAAAAAACAAAGGTAAAAATATATTTTACCATACCAGTTTTCAATATTAGGGGTTGGAATATTTTGTATTAAAAGAATTTTCAATTTTGTTTCATATGTCAGCAGAATATATCCGAAGTTAGGGACTCAAGCACTGTGGCGAAGAAAAGTGAAAACGAATCCACATCTAAAAGGCCTCGAAATGAAACCCCATCAATGCCAGCTTTTAAGGTACAATCAGTTTGATAAAACTTTTAACAACAGGGATTTGATTTCTTTGTAACTTTCCCTTTTTTTTGGGTTTTTTGTTTCCCATTCAAAGGAAATAGATGAGAATTTCTATAGCTTTGATCATAGGTGAGAAAAGAGAAGATGGGGGACAGAATCACTGCACTCCAACAATTGGTTTCACCTTTCGGAAAAGTGAGTTTTCTGATCAACTTTTCTGTCTTTTTTACTTTACTTTCTTACTTCATAGATATCATTTTGATTCCAATTTCATGAAAACTCATGACTTTTCTTTTATTATATGTAGACTGATACAGCCTCAGTGCTCTCTGAAGCTTTTGATTGCATTAAATTCCTCCATGAACAAGTCAGTGTAAGTTCCATTAACATCAAGTAATTATTATCATAACAATAAAAATCCCTTGAACAGATTCAAACATAATATATTTGCAGTGTTCTGATAATTTTTTTTTATTTTTTCCTTTTCTCTTTTTTATATTCTATCAGGTTTTAAGTACCCCATACATGAAAAGTGGAGCTGCCATACAACAGCAGCAGGTACTAATACAATATTCTCTTTTTCTTGTTATATTTATAATATATTCATCATTCTGTTAATTCATGAAGCATTTTACATTGATGCAGAATGCTGAGAAGTCCAAGGACCCTGAAGGGCCTAAACAGGATCTTAGAAGCCGGGGTTTATGCCTGGTGCCGGTCTCTAGCACGTTCTCGGTGACACATGACTCGAATTTAGATTTCTGGACACCAACATTTGGAGGAACATTCAGGTAGAAAAGATAAGAAATGGTGTAAAAAAGGGCACAGATGGAAGTGGAACAGATTCTCAGCAACTAGTGTATATTCTTATCGGAGAAAAACCCTAGACAAGTTGTTGGAAGATAACAAGGATCAAACTGAAAGGAACAGAAAAAGAAAGAAGCCCAAATTTAAATATCTAGTCCAGGATGGAAAAAACAAATTAAAGAAGAAAATGTGAAGACAGAATTGGGAGAAACTGAAAGAATTGAAAAGGAAATGACTTTTCAAAGAAGAGGCTAAGAGGGCAATGAGCTAGGGCCAACATCAGGCAAAATGATAATGCAGGGATTTGGGCACTCTAGGGGACAATTGGGAAACATATTAATTTCTTTGTAATAATTGAAGAATAATTACTATGATGATTAGGGTATTGGGATAGGAATATTGAGTTGATTTGAATCCAAAGTTTAATTAATTAGTTTATTCCATCAATCTTAAGATGTGACACCTAACAAATATTAAAAGACGACATCTAATAAGTTTATGATTCAAATCTCAACATCTACAATACTTTATCTTATTTCAAATTCTGATTTTTTTTTTTGTAAAAAAGATAAACAGTTGATGTTAGGAAAAAGTTTCAAGATTAATTCACAAAAAAAAAAGTGCTGTAAAATTAGTAGCTGATCAGGTTAGTAGAAGGGAAAAAAATGAAGAAAAAAGAAGCTTTTATTATTATTATTTTTTTTTTCTGTTGTAAACATTGTGAATAAAGATGGCACTACCTTTAACTGAAAAGAAAAAGAAATTGAAAAGAACAATTGAATTCTTGAGTTGAGAAAGAAGTGAGTGGGTGGGGATATGTCATTTGATTGGAAATCTCTTACTTTTGATTTTGTTTTTTGTTTGGAATATGTTAGTGGAAGTCAGAAGTTGGGCCTCTCCAGCTCCTCCTTTCAAGCTAAAAATTTCCTTTTTTTATTATTTTTGAAATTTTATAATTTAATACTGTGATAGAATAAAAAAAAATTATTTATATAGTTATTTAGAACATGCTATCCAAGTGAGTGCTCACATTGATGAGCTTCCATTGGAAGGGAAAGAAAAAGCCAAGCAAACTTCCCCTATTTTTGAAATAATTAATGTTATAATTGTCCATAAGTTTTTTAATCCCTTCAATGGAGACCTTTAAAAAAAAAAATCCAAGATAATTAATAATATATGTGCCCTTCATTAAAGTTTTATTAAGTTTAGTTGGAAAGAATAATTGTATTTATGAATACACTCATTTACTATTGAAAAATTAAAATAATAAAGAGGAAATTTTAATTATTATTTTTTGAAAAATATATATAGCTTCAAAGACCTAAATATAAAGCAAAAGTTTATGGGAAATTTTTCGAGATTTAAAACTCTATTTGGGAGCTTGATGAGAATGCTTTAACTGTACTGAAAGATGCATTGAATTCCATGACGAACATTCTCACCAAACTTTCTAATGAAGCGTAAGCGAGAAGCTAATATAATGCTGTTTATAAACTATTTGGAAATCATGTAGTAAAGATTTATCCTACCAGCAAAGCTAAGTTGATTAGTTGCCACACCTTTGCAAAAAAAAATTTAGAATTTGGTAATTATTGGGCTATGAATTGGGTGCATTTTGAATTCTATTATAGCTTGGGGAATAGCTTTAGGTTTCCTCATGATTAACAGAGCTAATTGAAGATTTCCAAGAAAACCCTACCATTTCAGGAAAAAGGGGAAAGCTTGACATATATAACAAACATTATGAAGAACTTTATGAGATTCTACATTCTAATAATCCTTCTTTCTCTCACTTTCCTTTTCTTCAAAATAAAGCACAAAATACACTAAAAAAGTTTTTTAAAAAAATTATAATCTCCAAAAACCAATCAAATTGGTATATATTTCTTTACTCCTACTCTAGAACCTGCCTGAAACTTATGCACCCAGTGGCTGAAAAAAAGAGCTTTGTAACATATCTTCTACAGTGTTAGTGCTTTGGGATTAGTATTCTATGATGATCAAAATTTTTCTCAACTTTAGTGAAAAAAAATAATAATATGAATTTACCAAAATGAAAGCTTCAAGGGATTGATCATTGTTGTGCTGTGTGATAACCAAATATTTTCAGACTGACATTTTAATCTACATTTCTCATATCTCTAATAAATTTCTTTTTTTTTTTTTACTGAATTGTGCTATTTCTTTCTGTGTCATGCCAAAATGATGCCCATTTATGGTTGATGCCAGCATTTTGTTTCCGCTCACTGTCGAAAACAGCCCCAACGTTCGGCGTTGGCCTTCTAAAACCGAATGGGTTTCAGTTACATCGAGCGAAAGGAAAGAAAAAGGAAAGGAATGAAAATGAAAGGGGGCTCGATCGATTGCAGAAAGTGGGAACGAGAGCAGATGGAGGTCGCGCGTTTGGTCTGGGCGATTGTCTGAGCAGAAGGCGGCTCGATCGTTTTCATTCATTTGGGGACAATTTAGCGGCAATTGCTTTAGCAGCGTTTGTCTGAGCAAACGCCGCGAAATCTTGCTCAATAGTAGCGTTTATTTAAAAAAAATTGCCACTAAACAATATCGATACGGGGTGTTTTGTGTGTTTTAAAAATTATATTTTATATTTTATAGTGTATTAATTTATAAACACCTAACTTTTGATGCTTAATGGCATATTTTGTTATAAATATCGTTATCTAAATATTTAATAATTTTTTAAAAATAAATGTCGTATTTAAAAAAAAAACATAAAATTTTGTGATATTTATTAATGAAACGCTGTCATTGAATGCTCATTTTCTTATAGAGTTAATTCTTTTATGAATATTTTTGGTCCAATAATATAATTATTGTTATAACGTGTAAATTTAAAAATTTAAACGTTAAATATAAAAATTATAAAGTCGTTATTAATATTTTTTAATTAAATTAAATTGATCATTTAAATATATATATATAATTTAATGAAAGATTCTTTAAAAAAAATAAATTTTGATTTTTTAAACATAATTAGATTTGAAAATTAATTACATGTGAAAAAAATTTTAATATTCTAACAATATCTATAAATTGATATTAATTAATTTTATTTTATCTTATTTATGTTAGAAATATTTTTAAAATATTAAAATAATATAATTAAGTAAATGATTTAATCCAAAAAAAAATCATATTAAATTATAAAATTTCTTAAAGTATGATTCTAAACCTCAAATAAAAAATTGTGCATGTAGGCAATCAATTGCTATGCTTATAAGAATCGGCTATCTAAATCTTTCAAGGTAAGCAGTCAATTGCCTTTGGCTAATAAAAGCAAAATATATATAGTGTATAAATAAGTAGTCAATTATGAGACTAGGGCAATTGATTACTATGACTAAAAATTAAACTAAGTCGGCTATCATTATTAGAATTCTTCTGAATTTTGAATTAGGATATAACCATTAACCGTTAATAAAGAGAAGTCAACTACTTTGATGAAAGAACCATTTTAAAAAATGATAACAATTGATCACTCACATGTTGAATGCATTATACAAATTGAAAGGAGTTGATTTTTCTACTCTAAATAACATTCTAAAAATTAAAATTACAGAAAGATAATCGACTGCATTTTAAGTGGACTCATTAAAGGTCAAAATTTCTAGTTTAATGATATCGTAGTTAGAACTTTTTTATCCGTTTATATCCTCTTGGACCCCTTGTAAGCTTGGACCCAAGCCTTTAAGGAGGCCAGGATCCTTTGTTTCTCAAGTATACTTGAGAAACCTAAGCATGTTCTGGTATTGTCTTCTATTATTTGCCCCTGCCTGCATTTGCTTTCTAGCCACATCAAGTGGGAAAGTTGCATTACTTGAGATTGCACCAACAACTAATCTCATGTTTCTCAGTTGATTTGAATACGAAATTAGATGAAATAGAGAATAAGATATTAAAAGACTTGATGACTACCTTGAGCCCAATAAAAGAATAGAGGTAGGTGCCATTTGTACAATAAAGAGAAGGAAGATGACAATGGTAAAAGAATGTATGTGGAGAAGGAACTAAATTTTTTTTTTTTGATTAATACCATTAAATTGTTTTTTAGATTAACACCATTAAATTTTATAAATATAACATGACAATGACATGTCAAAAATATTATACATTGAAAAATAAGTTTGATACTATAATATTTTGAAAAATAAGATCTTAAACTACAATAGTTTGATAAAAAAAAAAAAAACTCCTAGCAATGGGTATTTACTAGTAAAGCATGAACATATGTAAGCAAAAAAAAAAAATTAGGCTAAGCATGTTTTGTTAGTCTATGATTAAATGTATATTTTCAATTATAAAAGTTCAAATTTTCATCTTACTATCATGTAAATGAATTAAATATAAATGAATTTATTATATTTGTAATCTATTTATTTAAATAATAATTTTAAATTTTTGTTTATGATTGTTTATTAAAATTAATAAATTAATATAAACAAATAGAATCTAAACTTATTTTCAAACCATTCATTGACATTCTATTCGTTTATATCTTTAATTATAAATAAATTGAATATAAATAAATTTTATTATGTCGTGATTTGTTTATTTAATTAATAAATTTTAAAATATTATTTGTAATAATTTGTTATGTTTAATAAACTAATATAAACAAATAAAAATTGAATTTGGTCATGAATTATTAGTTGGGCATTATGTTTGTTTATGCCACTAATCCTCTAATATTTCCTCTAATCATTCTCAAGCAGAACGCACATGCTAGGTCGATATTAGGTTTAATTCACGAATTGGTAGATTTCTCCATCGGTTTGGCTCTTGTCAAAGCTCACCTGCCATTTAGAAAAGGGTCCCCAAAAGGGCATCCACTATTATTAGCCTGGCCTGGAAAGTGGGGAATAACATTGCGGTTCCAACTGAAGCTCTGAAACAAGCCTCAGTTACAGACAGTTTAGAAGCCTACAAGATCGTTTTCCTCCACAAAATTTGGAGGATACCGTGCAGTTCTTTCTGTCTATATTTAGGTTACAATTTCTTTTGTACCAAAAAAAAATTGCTCGGAGATTGAACAGAGCAAAGATCCAAATTACATTTAACTGTTGTGCCGGACAAGTAATAGTACAGATAAATGAGCAAACTTTACTATTAATCGAAACCAATGTAAGGTGAAACACACATACAACATATATCGAATACATGAAGAAGTATTGTTTTGCAAACTTGGAGAGTATAGGAAATTGAAATTTTAGAGAGGAGAGGGATAAATGTAACGATAAATGGGGATTTTTGTAGTGAATTGAAATCAGGGAGCTACCTTGAGTTTCTTCGCAATGCCAGCAATGTACTTCCCTTGGTGGAAAGCTTGTGCCAACTC